GAGGTGGGCGTGAAAACATGACACAGTACGTGGGTACTGGCCATTTATTATATGGAGGAGAGGGGCATGAAAACATGACACAGTACTTGGGTGCTGGCCATTTATTATATGGAGGAGGGGGGGTGATGGTGGTGGTTGGCGTGCGTGTTTCTTGAATGACTTTGAGGATCCGAATAACAACAACAACAACAACGACAACAACAACTAAGACTGACAACAACTAGCCATCATTTGCTTATACATGTAAAACTACTATTTGTCATATGTTAACTGAGCGTTAATGGGGGCATTTATTCCTGTTTTTCATGAAAACCCGCAATATTTTCGACATACATTTTGTTTTGAATGAGAAACTTGTTCTTGACTATTCATCAATAACTCATCAGTTATATTTTTATATATAAATAAGTATTTCTTAATTATTTGTTAATTTTAACATATTCTGCTTTCTAATATTATGAACTCCAAATCAAATATCATATTATCGAATAAAGGGACCAGGAGAACTATGACATATTATATATGGGTATACACAGTTGTATAGACGCATCTTATTATTTTCATGCGTTCAAGTCTCTCGAGTGAAATAACATGCTTTTCCCTGAGGAGACATACCGTTTTTTTCCTCACTAAATAATATACAATACAAGCCCTATCTATGCCACTTATTGCTTAACAACATATAGAGCATCAGGCTACCAACATTGTGAGTGGACATACTTCACCATATGACTGTTGCTTGTAAAGTTATTCAACTTTCTAGGGGGCGGTAGGGTAGCCTAGTGGTTAAAGCGTTCGCGCGTCACGCCGAAGACCTGGGTTCGATTCCCGACATGGGTACAATGTGTGAAGCCCATTTCTGGTGTCCTCCGCCGTGATATTGCTGGAATATTGATAAAAGCGGCGTAAAACCATACTCACTCACTCACTCAACTTTCTAGTTTCCGTTTCCCCGAAATCTGGTCCCGTGGATTCGACTCAGGAGTCCCCCTTTATGTGGTGATTCCTTCCACTAAGCTGTGAGTCCCGGGTTGCTTTCAAAGGTTCTTTTCATCTATGGATATATCATACTGAGATATTACCACCCAAGATGGTACCAATATCCGGTCTGGCTCATGAACTGATAACCCAAAGTTCATAGTCGATGGGATGGCCCAGTGGTTAAAGCGTTGGCTCGTCACGCCGAAGACCCGGGTTCTATTCCCCACATGGATACAATGTGTAAAACCCTTTTTCCGGTGTTCCACGCTGAATTTTTGCTAAAAGCGGCGTAAAACCATACTCACCCACTCATTATCGTCAGTTTTTGACACATATGGAGAATAACAATAATTTAAGCGAAATTTAAAAAATCATTCCGACTCCTTTATTCCGATATTTCATGAAGCATCTGATGAGCTTGTACTGAACAAAACACCGCAGAAGTTTGACGGCGAAATCTTTGATATGCATACCGAGTTCGAATTGGTCCTCAGCAACCTAGGGGCGGTCGGGTAGCCTAGTGGTTAAAGCGCTCACTGGTCACGCCGAATACCCGGGTTCGATACATGGGTACAATGTGTGAAGCCCATTTCTGGTGTCCCCCGCCGTGATATTGCTGGAATATTGCTAAAAGCGGCGTAAAACCATACTCACTCACTCACTCAGCAACCTATGCTTGGTGTAAGAGGCAACCAGATTGATCGATTGATTAAGGCTATATATACACCTGAACCTTGACGGGTTTTGTTAGTCTTGGGACTGTATCGTATTCTGCTGATTCCCCGCTATGCACGTCGCTATATAAGTGGCATGATCTTGAACGCGACCTTAAAACTCATTTCACCTCATGACTGTAGTTTATCTGTCATGTCGTGTGAAAGAATGTGGTGGTCCTGAACTTATTTTGAGTAGGATAGAAATATACTTAAAAGTATACGTATAGTGTAGTGAGAGAGACAGGGAAGGGGAAACTAGCTGAACGATTAATTGACGTACAACCGGACCGGACATCCTCTAAACTTGACACTTGCTTTAGCAGACGACGGACCCACCAGTGGGCACCCTGCCATTACGAACGCTTCCTTTTAAATACCTCCGTGTTAAAGTATGAGAATGGGTCCTGTGTCTGCAGGAAGTAATATAAAAACATAGATGATTATTAACCTCTCGTAACTGAACACCCATCCTCAATTATACCGTGTCCTGTTAAATACCCTGGATCCTTTCGATATTCAGTTATATCACAGGAGATGGGTTGGGTTGGGTTGTTCTTATGATGTAACAAAAACATATTACTAAATCATTTTGGTGAGTTGTTTCAACGAAAGTAACGATTTCTGGACACTGTCATGAAAACTGTTTTCCTCACTCCGCCAGGTGCGGTCGGGTAGCCTGCTGGTTAAAGCGTTCGCTCGTCACGCCAAAGACCCGGGTTCGATTCCCGACATGGGTACAATGTGTGAAGCCCATTTCTGGTGTCCCCGCCGTGATATTGATGGAATATTGCTAAATGCGGCGTAAAACCATACTCAATCACTCAATCTGCCAAAGGGAAAGGGAGACAACTCAGTGCCATTCGTTCCCTCGAGCTCACCTCCAGGTATGACGGGTGGAAGTTGGCAGACCTAGGCTACACACAGATACTAAATATTGTGAACACGCCCGTAGGAAGGAATTTCCTAATAGGGTGGAGGTGGGCTAATCCTGAACTTGCATGCTGTGTTTTTTATAAGGATGGAGCTGATGCCTGTGTGTCATGTGTATATGTAGAGGTGTAAGTTTTGGGGTTTTTTTTGTTGATGGCGGTCGGGTAGCCTTGTGGTTGTAGCGTTCGCTCGTCACGCCGAGGACCCGGGTTTGGTTCCCGACATGGAGCCCACATCTGGTGTTCCCCGAAGTGATATCGCTGGAATATTGCTAAAAGCGACACAAAACCATACTCACTCACTTGTTTGTTTATTTGTTTGTTTGTTTAACGCCGCACTCAGCAATATTCCAGCTATATGACGGCTGTCTGTAAATAATCGAGTCTGGACCGGACAATCCAGTGATAGATATCATCAGCATCGATCCGCGCAATGTGGATACGATGACTTGCATCAACCAAGTCAACGAGCCTGACCACCCGATCCCGTTAGTCGCCTCCAACGACAAGCGTAGTCGCCTTTTACGGCAAGCATGGGTTGCTGAAGACCTATTCTACCCCGGAATCTTCACGGGTCAGCGTTGTAAGTAGCTGGTGGTGTAAGTAGGGGTGGGGGTGGGTAGATACTGTTTCTACATATGAGCCTGTTAGAAAGCAAAAAAGATCTACTTGAAAATCAAATGTCCTATATATATTTGGTTCGGAATACGACACGTGATTCCCCCACCCCCCAACCCTCTCACACACACACACACACACACACAGACACACACACACACACACCACACACACACACACACACACACACACACACACACACACACACACACACACACACACACACACACACACACACACCACCAGAATATTAACTGGTCGCTTTACGACAGAATAACAACATGTATATGTTTTGAGGGAAGAAAGCAAAGCAATGTGAGCGTGAGAAACAAAGCAGTTACAGGCCCGTGGGAGCGATTCTCGAGTGATGGAGCCGAAACAGACATTTTTGTAATTGTGGTGGGCGTGGGTGTTACGAAAACTAAAAAATCACACAGTGAAAGTGTGGGGTCGCTAAAATTGATAACTATATGGGTGTGGGTGGGCGTGTGGTGGCCATGTACAAATGACAGTGGTGAGAGTGTGTGCCTGTGTGTGTTTGTATGTGCCTGTGTGTGTATGTGCCTGTGTGTGTTTGTATGTGCCTGTGTGTGTATGTGCCTGTGTGTGTTTGTATGTGTATGGGTTGCTGAAGACCTATTCTATCCCAGATCTTTACGGGTCTGCATATTTGCATACGTTGTTGTGCTGGAGCTATATTCTCCTTGTGAAAATCTTTTGATTAGGAAATAATCAGTGGGAGCCCCCTGCTCATATGGGCCTGGGTGATATTAACTGCTTTATGCACTCGCGATATGGGCTTTGGGGCTGTTAACTTCGAACAAACCAACGTTTAGGCGTCCAGGGTTGTACTTGGGTCTACATACTATTTAGCTCAGGATACAATGTTGGGTGCCTAGGGCTGACCTGTGGCCACATATATGATTTCCAAGAACTATCGTGGTAGAGCGTCCTCCCGGAAAGTGCATGGTACGCGGTTCGATCCCCGGTTGCGTCATAGCAAAAGAGGTTAAAAACGGTACTTGTTGTTACCCTGTCTGGCGCTCGGCATTAAGGGGCTAAAACGAGGACTGGTCGGCTCGGAGTCCGTATACTGTGTCTGAGTGGGGTATTCCTGTTAAACTGCGGAATGGTATCTCAGTGGGCTAGCACTATAAAATCGGCAGATAGTCCGGACTAGTACAAGCAACCACACACACACACGCATGTATAAGTGCAATAATCTTGGACGTGACGTTAAACCCCATTTCACCTCACCTCACCTCCAAGAACGTTATCATTGCACATAGAAGGCTAGAAGTGTGTTAAGATGATCATTCTATGAAAGCACGGGACCAGGTAACTAATAAAATTAACAAACAAACTCGCAGCGCCTTCGGCCTCGTTTACGATTTTATTTGCGAATCTGTTTATTATTATTACTATTAGTTACATGATCCTGAGATGAAAGTCACCCACTGACAACCTGAACAACGATACTATCGATATTCGATAAAGTTTCGAGTCCGATTCTGTATAAATTGTTTGCGCCCAACCTGAATTTGCATGCGTTAAACCACCATTATTTTATTCTAGTTGAGTATGAAATATAGATAGCCTATTGGTGCCCCTATGCATGTTATCGATATCATTATCTGTACTATAAGTCAGGAGGGCAGCAACATTCATGATTATACAATACAGGCCCGCGGCAACACATGGCTGGCCATCCGATATCGCAACTGTGCTATAAAAAAAAATAAACACATATCACGTGATCGGTGTATTTAACTTCCGGGTTGGTTATGCGGTGGAGTGACAGTGACAAACGGCGGGCGACGAGATGACACGGTTGTCGCAATACTCCGAGGCCTTCTGGGTGAGTTGTTATGTTTAGTAAATTTGACCACGTCGACTTTGTCGTGAGTGCTACCAGCCAGGTCTGAGTCGAAGCTTATTCACACCTGACTTTGATTACACATAGTTCAGGTATAGTGACGCTGTCATCTCGAGGCCAGTTGCGTGGCCAGTTATGACATAAACATCCCGTTAGACTTGTTCTGCATGCCATGAAGACATGTCCTCGCGTTATGGAGTGTGAAGCCCTTAAATCATATTTACCTGTTGGCTGACATGTGTCCCGATAGTTGTGCTTTACTGTCGATTTCAAGTGTAAGGTGAAACAGGTGCACGTGTCCCTATTGTTAGGAGACCAATACGTAGATTAACACACTTGTTGTGTCAGACATGTATAGAGTTGTGTACTGAAGTCAGTAACAGATTACAGATTATGTCATGCATGTCCCTGTTGTGCCACAACTTCGCGTGACTGAATGACAACAGTCACAGAGTGTCTGCCTGTGTGTATTACATGTCAAGTGAATGGAGTGACAAGCACTTGGTACATCACATATCTATGTGTAACTTTGTAAACATTTAGTATCCTGGGTTGAGTTTATTTGTTTGTTGTTTAACGCCGCGCCGCACACAGCAATATTCCAACTGTATGACAGCGGTCTGTAAATAATCGAGTTTGGACCTGACAATCCGATGATTGACGTCATGAGCATCACTCAATGCAGCTGGGATACGTTGTCATGCATCAACCGAGTCAGTAAGCCTGTCCACCTGATCCCGTTAGTCGCCTCTTACGACAAGCATGGGTTGCTGAAGACCTACTCTACCCCAGATCTTCACAGGTCCTGTTGGTGTGGGGGGGGGGAGGATAGAGCACAATCACATTTTGTTACCTTGTTTAATCTGTTACTACGAAATATAAAATAAATTAAAAAAGTTGAACTGTTCTTAATATCAGCTATACTGGTCGTTTTCGGCACGGGTGTTTCAGATATCAGGTTCGTATATCAGGTACGTTCCTGTATACAGAAATCTACCCAAGCTAAAATCAGAATACTTTTGGGCTGAGACAATCACATTTTGTTACCTTGTTTAATCTGTTACTACGAAATATAAAATAAATTAAAAAAGTTGAACTGTTCTTAATATCAGCTATACTGGTCGTTTTCGGCACGGGTGTTTCAGATATCAGGTTCGTATATCAGGTACGTTCCTGTATACAGAAATCTACCCAAGCCAAAATCAGAATACTTTTGGGCTGAGACAATCTAGACTTGCAAAATCTTTCTGGATCTGTGTTGGATTTCTTTTTAATTTATTCTCGATTGTCTCTAGGAAGAGCTAAATAATGCCCTGGTTTGGTCTTCTTTAAGAAAAATTGTTCCAGAAATATTTAAAAACAACAATCTGAGCTCCCGCTTTACCAGACATTTTAGGCGTCTGTAAACACGATTCTGTTGGGCTGAAAAGATATGTTCAGGTCTTCAATCGACCCTTTCCGGGATGTCTGTCTTTGAGCAGTGACTGTTAAGTAGTTGTGTCAAGCAAAAATCAACAAATATATATTACCATAATAAACAGCTTAAATAGATTGGCCTTTCCTCCTACGGTTGATATATCGTGTTTGGTGAGGGTGTGGTTGGGTTCCTGGTGGCTTACATGCTCGCTTGTCACGCCGAAGGTCCGAGTTCGATTCCCCACACAGATACAATATGTGAAACCCATTCCTGGTGTTCCCTGCCATGATATTGCTGAATATTTCAAAAGCAGTGTAAAACCACACTCACTCGCTCATTATTGTAACAAGTTATTAGACAATAGTACTTGTGCTTATTCGACAATCAGATTTACATCGGCAAACTTAAAGGCGATCCGAGTATAAACTTATGAATCTGATATTCATGAAAAAAATTGAGTGCTCTACGTTTATATCAGCCTTTTTGTAATGAAACAAATATCACAGGCAGCCTTTCTCCTGGAATGTCTGACTGATAGTCATGATAGATGGTGAGACGCGAAGTTCATATCTAGGTAATATCTGATAGGTCAACCTATTGGCTTTCTGACAGATGAGTCGCCTCACAAGTCACTTGGGATATCAATCTATGAGAATGTCAGTTGCCATGGATACAGAGTTACTTCAGTCGTGGTAGTGAATGTAAATATATGTGTCAGTAAGTATGTAGTAAGTTTGTAAACTGATTGAAGACTTCACTTTTTAAATGTCCGAACAAGTTGACTCTCTTGACTGATCCACTGATGCTAATATGTTGTATTCCAAAGTAGGAAGTAATACTGAAATTGGAACAGAGATGGAATGTCTTGTGTTACCATTTTACCATGACAAGTTTTACTTATTATCCGTGTATTTTTGTCTATTTAAACAAAACTGCTTCAATTGTCTGGTAGAAAGAGCTGTCGGGGATTCAGAGAGTTTGTGGTATGACCGCCAAAAGAAGTAAGGGGATGGTCCCAGGCCTAAAAGTTTATCTTTTCACCAAGTAGCCATATGGCTGCAAGTATTTTTTTCCAGGTAGCCAGTGGCAAAATCAAGAAGTCAAGCCAATATTGTAGGTAGCCAAAAGCATTTGAAATTATCTTTCATCGAATATCGACCATATGTACAAGTCATAGCACTAGTCTTGCAATTGTATGTTAGTGGAAACTGTACTTGATTTTTGTTATTTGTGACTCAAACAATGATTCAATTTATTTTACTATGTAGGTATATCCTAACTTGTTCAATGAGCATTGTCAACTGAAACGAAATACTAATTACATTTATGTTTATGTACTTCAGTTCATTGTCAACTTTAGGAGAAATTTTTCGCAAGTATAACTATTAGCAGACATGTTTTCCAAGATCAGCTGTTATTTATTTTTTTGTCTACATATGTGTAGCAATAGAATTTAGTCGCCACAAGATATTTTTCAAGGTAGTCATTGGCTACCTCTGTATTTTAGAAAGTAGACAAACTGAAATTTAGGTTGCGCTGGCGACCGTTTTAGTAGCAGCTTTGAGGCCTGATGGTACTTATTGTATTCCTGACTGAAGGGCTCATCTTCTGGAGGCAAGGGCGTTAACTGACTTTGTATATCCAGTTTCCAACCTTGCCGAACTAGGCTGGAATTTCTGGGCTCGATCGTAGCACCATCAGTGGCTACGGAAGTAGTAACATGCATAACATTTTTTTAATAATGACAACATTGGTGTATAATAATAACTTTATTGATAATTTATAACAATAATGGCTCTAGTCGTCGCAACTTCCAAACTTTCGGGAAGTTGTAATCTATCTGACCGTCATTCAGGCGATGTTCCTGACAGATCACGATCTGAAAAATACTATCATGAAAGTGTATCCCGTGGACAAGCCGACCCCTTTATACAGAATCTTTTATCTGGTCCTCAAAATTTGGCTTATCTGCGGACATATACGGCACTAGATATACCCCTTCTAGTATTCGACCCAATAAGTGCCCATGTCCCAATAATCGCCCCCCCCCCCCCCTCCTTTTCCCGGATGCCCAAATAAGATTTACTCACCTATTTTTTACATACGGTCAAGAATCTTTTGTAGTCGGTTCATGAGGAGATGTTCACCAGTAAAATGTAAGTAACAGTTTATCTCTAGCCCCACCAGCAACAGAAGAATATCGATAGGCTTACTGATGAATTTACGCCAATTTGACGCTGAAATGGTCCCAATAAGCGCCCACCCCTTCTGTCTTTATTTTAAGCGCCCTGGGCGCTTATTGGGTCGAATACGGTATCCCTCCTACCGACCAATCAGATGCCAACTCACTTAGGATGATGCTACACCCTGTGTTAGTTTACACCACTTTTTTTTAATTTAAGTTTCACAGATTTATTCCAGTTTTTCCACACGAGGTCAGTCGAAATAAAAGTAAATAGAAGATATTTCATGTGTCGAGTGAAACATCATGTTTCTCTCATCAAGTGATGAGGGGGGGGGGGGGGAGGAGATCTTTTCATGAGTGGAGTAGCCAATCGTGTGCAAAAATCTCTCCTTTTCCTACGTCACGATTTGAGAGAAACATGATACATGTATTTCACAAAGCACTTGGAATATCCTATTGATTATATACTCTTTGTGTAGTTTTCTCCCAGAAAATGAAATGTTTCATTACAAATGTAAAACCTTGAAACATAAATTCTCCCTATCAAACACAGGGACAGTTCACCACTCCTTGTATTTGCGACTAAAAAAGTAGTTGCAAAATCTTAAAAAAATATGAACAACAGTAGCAAAAAATATTTACGGTAACGAAAACTCATATCATACATATAGATATGATTATTTACAATATATCACTCCCTCACCCATCACCATGCTTACCGGTAGCTTCAGAGAAGGCAGGCGGTCTTGTTTAAGATGTGTGCCAAAACGTTTCTCTTTTTAATCGCTATTGTGCTGACATGCTGTGATATAACTGGAATACTGTTCACAGAGCTCCAGATAAGCTGCGTATCTGCGAAAAATACGCATCAGAAATGCAAAAATATGCAGTAAAATATAATCCAAGCGTATCAAATATGCAACGAACATTACAGATACGCTACAAAAATAAAACCTGTGCGTATCATCAAAATATTGTGAAGTAGCCCTGCGTATTCGATTAGCAAATCAGCAACTTATTTTGAAATTATAAACGGGCATTCTGTCAACCTTGCCAAACTCCACGATGACAGTTACATCATGATCATTTGCCATCACACTTTCTTGTGGACGTATCGTGGTATTTTTTAGTCCTATAAAGCTCTCGAACCCACACGACACCAGTTTGCAGGGCCTAGATGAATAGTGTTTTTAAATATTTCACTTAAATACCCACATGTGTAAAAACTAGTGGGTAACAGAAATTTGAATACTCAGATAGAATTACTGATACCCAATGATTTTAAAATGCATGGGTAAAATACCCACAACACCAAAACCTTATCTGGAGCTCTGTGTTCAAAGTGCTGTTAACCCAACTCGATCACGCACTCAATTATTC